GCCCACGGGTTCAAGACCAGCCTGGCAACTTGGCGAGACCTCATCTCTACAATAAATCAAAAAATTAGCTGGGCATGGTGGCGCATGCCTGTAGTCCCAGCTACTTGAAAGGCTGAGGTGGAAGGGTCGCCTGAGCCCAGCAGGTCGAGCCTGGGCGACAGAGACTCAAAAAAAGAAAAAAAGAATTCCCATGGATTCTGTGCCGGGCCATCACAGCGCAGGGCGTTCTCCATCAATCTGCATCTGGAATACACTCAACCTCTCTGCCACTCTCAGCCCGCAATTTCTGCAATTCACAGGCTGACTGATTCTGCTTGTTGTTTTTTTTGTCTTTTGTTTTGTTTTGTTTTTTGAGTAGGAGTCTCACATTGTCACCCAGGCTGGAGTGCAGTGGCACACTCTCGGCCACCACAGCCTCGACCTGCTGGGTTCAGGGGATCCTGCCTCAGCCTCCCAAGTAGCTGGAAATACAGGTGCATACCGTCATGTCTGACTAATTTTTTAATTTATTGTAGAGACAATGAGAGACTCAAAGGACTCAAAAGAACCATACCTGCTATGAAAGAAGCGTTTACTATATGAATTCCTACCTCACGTTCACTGTATTTTATAAACTCCTACCTCACATTCACTGTATTTTATAAACCCCTACCTCACGTTTGCAGTATTTTATACATCCCTACCTCAAACCCCGTAAGACTAGGCATATGTAAGGCGCCTGGTAGTAACTGTGACCGTAAAGTTACAAAATATTTGCAGTGTTTGTACTTAGAACGTTGTTAAGTTTTTGTTTGCCCCATAATAACTATGTTAATTGAAATAACCGGCTTCTTCTGCTTCTGCAACCACTGCTGGCAATGTGTGAATGTTAAGCAATAAGCCCCTCCCAGACATTCCTTTGCTTGAATTATGGTGGGCTCTGTGGCGCCAGCCACTCTTCTGGTGGGCTCTGTGTTATTTCAGACCTGCTTGTATGCCCGGGCTGATGTATGCACAGTCACAGTGACTGTGTAAACCACAGCTTATCTAACATTCCAGATGGCTTAACTAACTCTACTCTGCCCATGTAGCCATTAGTCACGGGTAGCCGAGCCTGCACCCGTGCAAATCAAAAACGAACCCACCAATCTCAGGCTCTCCTGTCCCCTGACATCACCGTGGACCTGAGAACTAATTATGCAAGGTCCGTGGACTTCGTTTTCTACGTCATGCCTTCTTCTAATTGGATAACGTCTCAAGCCTAGGAAAAACCAGTCATGCCCAGTCCCTCCCTCATAACTGTGTATATAAACTACTTGCTCTACTAGGTAGGGGCTCTCGTTCATGTACCGCTGCGCCGGTTACAGATGTGAGCCCAGACTCAAGCCTGAATAAAGACCCTCGTGTGATCTGCATCAGAGCTGGCTCTTTGGTGGTCTCTAGGATTCAGGATTTGGGTACTACAAGGTCTTGCCAAGTTGTCCAAGCTGGTCTTGAACCCCTGGACTTGGGCAATTCTTTCACCTCTGCCTCCCCAAGTGCTGGGATTACAGGCATAAGCCTGGTCTCCTGCCTCCTGGTCTCCACCTTTGCCAACCACAGGTACCAACATGTCTCCTGTGTTCAGTAAAAGGAATGTAGTGCTACTTAAGAAAAAGTCCTTCCACCTTAGCCTCCTGAGGAGCTGAGATCACAGGTACACGCCACCATGCCAGACTGATTTTTTGTAGCAACACGGTCTCTGCAGGCTGGTCTCTAGCCCTTGGGCTCAAGTGATCCTCCTGCCTCAGTCTTCCAAAGTGCTGGGATTACAGGTGTGAGCCACCATGCCTGAGCCACTATCACAGTATCAATAATCAAATATCCAACTAGGGAAGACATTTTCCTAACTGTCAGATCGATTTGTTTTTTATAATTTGTTTACTACATAGGATGCTATGTAGTAAGATCTACATAGGAACAACTGGCCAATGTGTTTCTTAAGTCATTTCTAAAATATAATTTATCCCATCCTTTTTCTTGAAATGTTCTGTTTGTGGTATAGATGTTTTCCCTGTGCTAAATGAACTCCCACACTATCCTTTAACAAGTTCTTTTTCCCTTAGACTCTAGAGACTGATGAAAGCATGAGTATTTTTATTTTTCCCTTCATCTTATCAAGATTTAGCTTACAAGATTTAGCCCCTCCCCCTACATTCTACCTCCTGGTCTCCTGCCACCTTTG